TGAGTTTTGTTTCATTATTGTTTTATTGGCAGCTCTCTGGATCTTTTCCTATTTTAAAGACTTTTGTTTTGTTTTTCAAGCCAGAGTTTCTCTGGGGCTTTGCAGTCTGTCCTAGAACTCGCTCTTGTAGACCAGGCTGGCCTCGAACTCACAGAGATCTGCTTGCTTCTGCCTCCTGAGTGCTGGGATTAAAGGCGTTTGTCACCATTGCCTGGCTATTTTTTTTTAAATTTTATGTGTATGGGTGGTTTGCCTATATGTATGAATGTTCACCACCTACATGCAGTTGCCTGAAGAGGCCAGTGGATCCTGTGCAACTGGAATCATAGGTGGTTATAAGGCACCTGATACGGATGCGGGGAACTGAACCTGGGTCCTCCGCAAGAGCATTAAGTGCTCTTAACTCAGCCAACTCTCTAGCCCCAAAACACCAGTTTTGATGGGGGGAAAAGATGATTCTACTTAAATAGGTTTCATTCAAATGCTTTTAGGAAACCCATGTTGTCCACAAAGAGATAGAAGTGTATTGAATCTGGAAAAAGCTGACATTAATTAAATAATGGCATGGACCTCTCAGTGTTAATTGAGGACGACTGTCATTCCTTCCTATCTCAAACTAATAAACCCCTGCTATTATCACTTTTTGCCTGAACCAGAAGGAACCCAACAGCAATTTAAAAAAAATCAGCCAAGATTTTGATGACTCGAGACAGCAGCTCTGAGCACTCACCATTCCAAGGAGGAGGCTTCCAGTGGGCTGTTTCCTTGGAGGGGTACATGACAGCTCCCGCAAACTGCTGTGCCCATTCTATATCTGGCTGCCATTGCCGAGCACCTCTGAGGAATTAAAGATAGATCCTATGCAAACAGCACGAACCGTGTGCTTGGTTCCTCTGTCCCCATTCACTGTTTTTCAAAAATGTTTTTAAATTTTAATTTAATTACCACATTTCTCCCTTTTCCCCCGCTCCAAACTCTCCCATATGCCCCTCCCCAAACTCCTTCAAATCCATGGCCTTTTTTTCACTAATTGCTATTGCATGCGTTCATATATTCGTATATGCATATATGTTCCTAACTATCCTCTTCGCTCTTATGCAGATGGGTCCAAAGAAGGAAGGCCTGTATGGCAGGGCTGAACTCTTCAATGTCATAGTGCGGTTCTGGACACACAAAGCTGGGGTCCAAGCATGAATACGAATGTAGAGAACAGCATTTGGTCATGGTAAATCTAAGATTACTAAGAGAGAGGAGGAAGGGAAGGAGGACGGAGAGAAAGAAAATGCAAACTGGCATATGCGAGAGAAAGAGAGGAACTAGGGAAAGAGGGCTCGGCGAGAAGGGGTCTCCCTTCCGATACGAAAGGAGGTACGCTCAAATCATTAATTTGTAAGGCAAGGTCTTCCGCCTCACCTATTTCGCCTCTGGTAAAACAAACTCACCCCCCCCCCCCGCCCTTGCCCCATCCTCCGTTACAGGAGGGACACTGTATCTAGGGACTTGAGAAACCTGGCCTGCGCAAGGAGTGTCAGAGGCCTGGGTCATTCTTTCCTCAGGGGTCACAGGGCCCTTGATGTCCTCAGACTCGAGAAATCCTAGTTTTGAAGAGAACGCAGGCAGGAACGGCCTCCTCCTCACCTGCTGGGCTGACTCGGCAGTCGGACCCCAGACCCGGGCCGCAGCACCTGAGCCCCGACGCCGCGGAGGCAGCACACAGCCCTCAGTGCCGCCATCTTTCCCGGGCTGCAGATCGTAAGAAGGAGAACCGGGCGGAAGTGAATCCCGTGCGCCTCCTTGTGGGCTTCTCTTCTATTGGCACAATGGGGCCACCATCTTGGAAGCTGGCAGGGCGGTCAATTGCGAACGCGACCACATCCGGATTTCGCTTCTCGGGTTCATTTGCGCTTAAATAACTACGACTGCAGTCATCTTTAGTAAGGGCGTCCCTCCTGCGGCTTTTCTTGGCGTAAGAGAAATTAACTGCACTCTCCTGAGGCAACTCCGCGGTGAATCCCACACTTCGCGCTGAGTCCACTCCCTGCACTCGAATTTACTTTACAAACTGCGCTCCCTCTAGGACTCCGCCGCACACTCTGCATAGGTGTTTCTTCACTATTCCTTTCCATCTTCGTCATCCTCCTGCGGTAGTCCTCACGGCTTTCCGATTTTTCTGAAGGCTCAGGTTTTCAGAACGGTCCTTTCTTTACGGAATCCAAGAGTTAATTCCCAGATGTCCGAAATCAGAATTATAGAAAGGGATTGTGGAAAAGTTCAGTTGGGTCTGAGAGCTAGCCAAAACAAAAAGGAATAGAAGGCCAAGACCACCAGCATTGGTAGTGTTGTGCAAGGGTGTGAAGCCACCTTTTTACAAATGGAGATCCTCTGTCAGTGACCCTTATATCCCTACGGAATCACAGATTCAGGAAGCGTTCTTAGTGATAGCTGGTACCCTACTTCCATTCAGGACAGTCTCACCCTGTCACAGTCCTTCTCAGAAGGATCTAATAACATAGAAATGTAATAATAACAGGACTCTGGACCTAATTCTGTATGGACAAAGAGTTTTCCTGCCCTGGAGGCTGATTTTTGTCTCTTTCTTTCTTTCTTTCTTTCTTTTTTCTTCTTCTTTTTTTTTTCTTTTTTGTCTCCAAGCCCAGCTCCAGCTGGGCCACCCACTCTTTGAGGTTCTACAGTTTTCTCATTGGAAAGAGGCCTCCCCCACACCTCCCCCAGACAGGGTCTCTGGGATATAGCCCACCAGCAGTGCAGCTGGGTGGAGCAGACCGACCAGGGGAGTGGCACTGAGAATTCTTAGCTGTAGAGGAAGAGGAGAAAGCCAGATTTCTAGGCTGAAAATTGACCTAATGGGAACCATACCAAAGGGTGGGGCTAGAGATCCCTGGGCTGTGGGAACTGACCAAGACTTGATGTAGACAAGGCAACCCCCCAGAAAGCCAGGGCAGAGGCTTGGTCCCCCTACCCTCTACATGCTCCTCCCTTTTCTAGGCCTTCTTCCCTGCAATATAATTTAAACACTAAATGCAATAATGATGAGAGGAGGGGTTACTCATTTTTGTGTTAATGCAGCCTATGAGAAGACAGACTCTAGTTTGCTTAGCCCTGGGGGTAGTCTAAGCTGAAACTGGGATGAGGACTCTTGGGGGGCTGCCTAGGACACTGCATCTTTTGTGCCTTCTCCCTTCTGCCAACACCCCCCACATGCTGTGGCTGCCACTCTATGGCCTTTTGTCTTGCCCTGCTCACTCACCCTCTTTGTTCTCATCTCCCGATGGGGGGATGGAAAGAAGCAATAAGAGCACCCTGGTGACAGCTCCTCTTGCCCCTGTCCCTTCTGGTCCCTCATCCCTTGTGTGACTCCTCCAGCCTCAACCCCTCTGCTCAGGACCAGGGAGGGCCAGGGCATGTGATGAGGTCAAGAGGAGAGACTAGAAGTCACCACAGGGCGGGTAATTCAGGAAGTGATAGGCACCAGGGCAGGTATTAGTGACTGGAGCAGGAAGGGAGGGGGAGAGGAAGCCTTCTGATGAATACGATGGATGTCCATCTGGGACAGGAGGTGACAAGGCAGAGAATGAATAAAGGGGATGGGGTAGGAGAGGTGGTGCTTCTCTGGGAAAGGGAAGGGACTGCTGAGTGTACTCTCCTTCCTGGGGATTTCCTGGGGAAACAAGTGGACACAGGGTGGAGTGGACAGAAATTGCCCCACTGCTGAACTCTTTGCTTCCTTGCCTTCAGAGTCAGCTATTAATTTCCTTAGTCCCCTCCAGTTCTGAATCAGAGAAGTCATTAGCTCCCTTCTCTAACACCTCACACATGTACCCACCAATCACTAGCCCCATCCCGGGTTCTAGGCTCCTGTTTCTCTTAGTACCCTCAAATGCTGTCTGCAGTCTCTCGCTCTGTCCCATGGAGAATGAGGAGTCAAAGATTACTAGACATTCCAGGAACCATTGGATTCGAAATGTGGGGGTGGGGGGAGCAGGGATTGACTTTGAGTAATCTGGATTCCCAAGAGAGCAGGTCTTGTCTAGGTGAGAGGCTGGCTGACTTGAGGAAGGGGGAGGGTTTGGGGTAGTTGGGAGTAGGTAGGAACAGAGCCAAGAGCCTGGGGGAAGCTACTGGGAGCTGAGCCAGGGGAATGGGCAGTCAGGAAGTCGGGGAGGAGGAGGCCTAGGGTGGAATGACTGTTCCATGCTTTGAATAGGGTAGGGATAACTCAGGAAGGCATAGCAGAGGGGGGAGAGAAAGAGAGCGAGCAGAAAAGATATACTCTGGATCTTCCTCCTCTAAAAAGAAAAGTAGTTGACTTGACTCCTCCTTTGCCATCTGTTTATTTTCATCCCAACAGAAAGGTCCTGACTGCTGTCTCCTGCTTTCCTGTCTCTACTGCCTCTTCCACTTGGTCCCATCCTCTCTTCTCTCTTAATACTTCTTTACCTGTTTGCCACTTCCTTTTAAATCCAGACAGCTTGAAATCAACCTCTTGGGTAGAGGGCAGCAAAAATGACACGTGAGGGCGTCTGGCTATTCCAGGCTGGACAGTAGGGACATGAATTCTCCCAGGACAGAATCTCATCTGTGTGTGTTCGCCAGGCCCTTTCCCCGAGTCCCTGCTTCCCTTGGGGCTCTGTCCCACCAAAAAGGGAAAGAGACAGCTGAGGGCTGCTGGTGGGATTTGGGAAAAGGATGTGTCATCAGCTGGCTCGGTGCCCATAATGCATCTGGTTGCTAGAGATTCCCTTTCCCTGGGCAAGTCCCTCTTTTTTTTTTTTTCCTTTCTTTCTTTTTAAGGGAAAGAAAAAAAAGGAAAAGAAAAGAAACAACTAAGGTCTTTGGGAAGTGATGATACATACATGCGTCCGAGTCCCACTGACTGAGCTTCTGGCTGAGTGGCTTACAGATCAGCCAATCACACACAGAGGGAGGCTCGGGGATGCTTAAAAGAGCTGGCGGGGAGAGAGACTGGGGAGAACCCGGGGGAGACCCACTGATACACAGAAAGGAAAGAGACTGATGAGAAGAGAGACAGAGACAAAGAGATAGCAAAGGGAGGCAGAGACAGAGCAGGCACTGAGGGAAAGCCACAACTGGGCAGAGGGAGAAGCCAGAGAAGCTGAAGAAGACACAGACAGGGAGAGACAAAGACCCAGGAGAGAAGGGCACAGGAGGAAGTTTTGGAGGAGAGAGGTCCTTAGGCGCATTTCTTGAGCCCAGGGACTGTTTTTTTCATCTTCTCTGAACGTCCCTAGCCCCTCTAAAAACTTCGCCTCAGATTTTGGCACAAATCCGAGCCCCTACGACTTTAAAGAGGAGTTTTCCATAGTTAGGGTGGGGAGGATTTGATGCCTCCAATGGCCTCAATCCATCCCAGATGCAGCACGGGTACCATGTCCCAGATGGGCTTGCATCCCGGGAGGGGCTTGACTGGGCACTGGCTGCGAAGAACCCAACTCCGCTTGCAGCTTCACACAGTGCCTTTCTCTGGTCTGGAGTGGAGGCGGTCGCTGGTGCTGCTGCTGGCCTCCCTCTTGCCCTTAGCCTGGGCAGCCAGCCCCCTCCCTCGGGAGGAGGAAATCGTGTTTCCAGAGAAGCTCAATGGCAGCATCTTGCCTGGCTCAGGTACCCCTGCCAGGCTGCTGTACCGCTTGCCAGCCTTTGGGGAGGTGCTACTACTAGAATTAGAGCAGGACCCTGGGGTCCAGGTAGAGGGGCTGACAGTGCAGTACCTGGGCCAGGCACCTGAGATGCTGGGTGGGGCAGAGCCAGGTACCTACCTGACTGGCACCATCAATGGAGATCCGGAGTCGGTGGCATCTTTGCACTGGGACGGGGGAGCCCTACTAGGGGTGTTGCAGTACCGAGGGGCTGAACTCCACCTCCAGCCTCTGGAGGGAGGCTCCCTTAACTCTGCTGGGGGACCAGGGGCTCACATCCTACGCCGGAAGAGTCCTGACAGCAGCCAAGGTCCCATGTGCAACGTCAAGGCTCCTTCTGGGACCCCCAATCCCACTCCCCGAAGAACCAAGGTAGGCAACAGTGGAGTTTTTGTCCTGTATTATCCTCCCGCCAAGTCTGTCCTACTGACCCCTATTCACCCTCTCTCCTCCCACTCCCGCTTCTAGCTTTTCAGCCTTTCTCCTCTCTGCCTTTCCTATCTCCACTACCCTTACTTTGGAAAGTGTTGGCTTCTCCCTGCCTTAGCCATTTGCTTTGCTCTGAGGATTCCCCGAGGTAACACAGATTCTCTGGGCTGTAATGACCTCCCCACCACACCCCGCCCCTTCCTGGCCGTGGAGTCTCCTGCTGACACAGTTCCCAGCAGTAAAGCTCTCCTAACAGCCTGTTGGCCTAGGCTCTTTTCTCTGCCCCAGTGATTTTTACCCCTACCCCAGCTAGAGAAGTGAAGTTTGAGGCCTGATGGGGTTGGGTTTTTTGGCTTCTGACGTTGCCTTTAAAATTGTTCTGGCAAATGTCGAAGTAGGCCAGGCGAGGGGAAGCATCCATACCTCTGGGTCCATCTTCTTCCCACACTGTGGGCTGGCTGCTAGGCTGCGGGAGGCGCCATCCTTTCCTCCCTCCCACTCCTGGGTCTCCCCCTTTTTTTCTCTCCCACCCCTTCTCTAGCTTTAATCCAGACCAGACGCTCCTTCCACACCCGCCACGCTGAGATCTGGCCGTGGCCCTAGCTGCTGACTGAATTGTTCCTCCAACTACATAGGGCAGACACGTCGGTCGGTCGTTGTCACAGCCCAGCCCTCTCTCTAGCTCTGCTCCGACAACCCCTGCCACACTCAGGGACCCCAGTGCCCCTCCCCAAAGCAGTCCCAGCTGCTTTTCACCTCTGGGGCCCACTCAGCCCTGAAACGTGGCAAAGCCTTCTCCTCTTTCAGAACAACAGCTGATTCTTCAACATTACCACAAAAGCCCTGCGCTTTGGGGTTAGGGGGAGGGTCCAAACCAGTCACTTCAGGAATCCTGTGAGGCGTGTGAGGGCCAGCTGACTCTGCTAAGTTCTAGACCCAGGAAGAGAGGGAGAGGAGAAGGGATCCATGGGCCTGGGCGACTGTTTCAGGACCCTCCTCTCATTTTTTTTTCTTTTTTTTCCCCCTCTCTTCAGCGCTTTGCTTCTCTGAGTAGATTCGTGGAGACACTGGTGGTGGCCGATGACAAGATGGCAGCATTCCATGGTACAGGGCTAAAGCGCTACCTGCTAACAGTTATGGCTGCAGCAGCCAAGGCCTTTAAGCACCCAAGCATCCGAAACCCTGTCAGCTTGGTGGTGACTCGGCTAGTGATCCTGGGGTCAGGCCAGGAAGGGCCCCAAGTGGGGCCGAGTGCAGCCCAGACCCTACGCAGCTTCTGCACCTGGCAGCGGGGCCTCAACACCCCTGACGACTCAGATCCTGACCACTTTGACACAGCCATTCTGTTCACCCGTCAGGTAAGGCTCCCAGGCAGCACCACACCCAAAGAACCACAACGCAAAGAGACACTGCCCATACACAAACCTGATGGAAAGGGCGTCCCTAAAGTCGTGCAACATGTACCAGACCCCAGTCATCCTGCCGTGGGGGGACCATCCGGGCCCTGACCATGCTGGGTCCTCACTAATCTGGGTATCAGCCCCAAGCGTCTTCTGTGCTCCTCCTCCACAGGACCTGTGTGGCGTCTCCACTTGTGACACTCTGGGTATGGCTGATGTGGGCACAGTGTGTGATCCGGCTCGGAGCTGTGCTATTGTGGAGGACGACGGACTCCAGTCGGCCTTCACTGCTGCTCACGAACTGGGTAAGGGAGCAGTGGGACAGTGTGGCCCCTGAAGTGGAACTGAAGGGTACTAGGGATGCTATAAGGAGCTAAGGTGCTCACTCGAGTGCAAATGGGGGTACCAAGGTATTCTCCTCCTCCTCCTCCTCTTCCTCCCCAGGCCTTGGTCCAAGTTCAATCTCCTTCTCTGTTCTGGGTACAGACAAACATAGATTTTTTTTTTCTATTAAAAAAAAGTAGCAGGTGGGAACGACTTTGAACTATATATATGTACATGAATTACATGTTCAGAAGGAGAGATAGTAAGGGAGTGGGGACTGAGGATTGGGAGTGTTAGCTACAGTGGACAACAAGCAGAAGAGGCCTTTCCTCTGGGGAGAGAAGACAGAGCAATAGGGGCTACACATGGAACCTTCAGAGAACTATAAGGAGATTTGAGATGGGGGAGGGGAGGTGGATCTGATCAGCAGCAGCTGCAACCAAGCTTATAATGGACCACCCCCCCCCCTCCCGAGGACACAGGATGGAACCCTTGGACGCTAGCAGGATCTCTTCTCTTACAGGCCATGTCTTCAACATGCTCCATGATAACTCCAAGCCATGTGTTAATCTGAACGGGCAGGGGGGCTCCACTCGCCACGTCATGGCTCCAGTTATGGCTCACGTGGATCCTGAAGAGCCTTGGTCCCCGTGCAGTGCCCGCTTCATCACTGACTTCCTGGACAATGGCTATGGTAAGCAGGCGGCATCTTTCTCAAAATAAGACTCGATTCCTGCCCTCTCCCACTGGGCTCTTCTTTCTGGAACATTCTCTGTGAGCCCTATTGACTCCTCCATGTGTGCTGCCTCTGCTGTACGTGATGGGGTCAGAAATGCTGCTATCTTTGTATGGTTCCCACTCCCTATGAAAGCAAATAGCACAGGTAAGGGAGGCAAATACTGGCTCCATACAATTAGAATTGACCTTTAAGCTGGGAAGTGGTGGCACACCTTTAATCCTAGCACTTGGGAGGCAGAGGCAGGAGGGTCTCTGAGTAGGAGGCCATCCCGGTCTACAGAGCAAGTTCCAGGAATGCCAGAGCTATACAAAATAACCCTATCCACAAAAAAAAAAAAAAAAAAAAAAAGGAGAAGAATTGACCTTTTAAGGACTAGCACTGTCCAGTGTTGAAATGGATTGGCTATAAATCTTGTCATTCGATAAAGTGTACGAGACAGCAGAATGACTTTCTCCAAAATTTATTTTATTTTTTATTTATTTGCTTATATGTGTATGCATACAAGCTTGAAGGTGCCCATGGAGGCCAGAAAAAGGGTGTTGGACCCCCTGGAACTGGAGGCAGTTTGTGAGTTACTTGATGCAGATGCTGGGAACCGAACTCCAGACCTCTCCAAGTGCTCTTAACTGTGGAGCCAACTCTCAAGCTCCCCAAAGTTACTGACTAGAGGCATTCTCAAAAATTCTGTAGATGGGCATGGTGGCACATACCATTAATCCCAGCACTGAGAGGCAGATGGAGCTCTGTGAGTTTGAGACCAACCTGGTCTATGTAGTGAATTTCAGGACAGCCAGGACTGTATAGAGACCATATCTATAAAAAAAAAATGTATAGCAGAACTAAGCAGTGTAACATATGCCTATAAACTTAGTATTGGGGAAACTAAGGCAGAAAGATTGCCACATAACTTCCAGGCAAGCTTCGGTTATGTAATAGTGAGTTCCAAGCTATGTGATGCTGTGGAGTGAATGAATCTCTGCCCCCAAGACTCCAAATGGGGTCAGCAAGATGGCTCAGCAGGTTGAGGTGATTGCTGCCAAGCCCAATGACCTGACGACCTCTGCAAGTTGTCCTCTGACCTCCATACATGTGCTGTGGCTTGTGCAGACGAATAAGTGAATATGATAAGAAAAAAAGTTTTCAAAGCCCAAATACTAAAAACAATAATAAATTCTATGGTGAGTAAGATCAGGCGGAAGCGCTTTGGCTCATGTGCTGACCGAGCTCTTTGTTACATGCAGACATGTGGGTTAAGTTACTTGGCTTCTCTGGGTTTGCAGTTAGTTATACTAACAGCCAGTATCTCACAGTGGTGTGGTTAGTAAATGAGGTCATGTGGATTCAAGGCTTTACCAGTACTGATCACATAATAAACATCCAATACGGTGTAGCTGAGGGTACCTTAGCCACCAGGGAGCCCAGGCTTTCAGTTGGCAATCCTTAGTGCCCACCTCAGTCTCTTGCTAACTTTTACCTTAACCCCCTTCCAGGGCACTGTCTCTTAGACAAACCAGAGGCTCCCCTGCATCTGCCAGTGACTTTTCCTGGCAAGGACTACGATGCCGACCGCCAGTGCCAACTGACCTTTGGGCCTGACTCACGCCATTGTCCACAGCTGCCCCCACCCTGTGCTGCCCTCTGGTGCTCGGGCCACCTCAACGGCCATGCTATGTGCCAGACTAAGCATTCACCCTGGGCTGACGGTACTCCCTGCGGATCCGCACAGGCCTGCATGGGCGGCCGCTGTCTTCACGTGGACCAGCTCAAGGACTTCGATGTGAGAGCCCAGGGCACGGCTTGGGTGAAAGGCCTGTGGGGAGGAGACTGGTTCTAAACCTAAGAGAGTGTACTTATCCCACTTCCGTCCTGTGTCTCTGCAGATTCCACAGGCTGGGGGCTGGGGTCCCTGGGGACCATGGGGTGACTGCTCTAGGAGCTGTGGGGGTGGTGTCCAGTTCTCCTCCCGGGACTGCACAAGGCCCGTCCCCCGGAATGGTGGCAAGTACTGCGAGGGTCGCCGTACCCGTTTCCGCTCCTGCAACACTGAGAACTGCCCAAGCGGCTCAGGTGAGAGCTGGGAAGGCTGGGAGCCCTGGGAGGGGATGCTAGAGAAGAGGTGCTGTCCCTAGAGTGCTGAACTGAGCTGATTGACTCTGCTTCCCCGGGGGGGGGGGGGGTGTTCTTTATCTTTCGAGAACTGTCCCTGGCAGTCTGTGAGGGAGAGAGATGTCATGCCAGCTAAAGTTCTGAGAGGCTAGATGGAAGGCTGTGTGGGCTAGTGGGAGGAGAGAGGGGCTCAGTCTGCCCATTTTATCCCTATAGCATTGACCTTCCGTGAGGAGCAGTGTGCTGCCTACAACCACAGGACGGACCTCTTCAAGAGCTTCCCAGGGCCCATGGACTGGGTCCCACGCTACACAGGTGTAGCCCCACGAGACCAGTGCAAACTCACCTGCCAGGCCCGGGCACTGGGTTACTACTATGTACTGGAGCCACGGGTGAGGACCAGAAACCCTTAGGCCCAGACAGGGCTTACACACACATCCCAGTGGTCTCTCTCGGGGGGGGGGGGGGGGGGGGGAGGGGGGGTGTCCCTCCAGACCATTGCTGGAGTGCATCACACCACGTCAGCCTGCCTACAGATTCACTGTCTTGTCTGTCCACGCCCAGTATTAGGGAAACAAATGCCTAACTCTGGATATGTGGCCGGGAAAGCTGCTCTAACTTGTTGTATCTGTTTCCTTCCCTCTTTGTCCATCCTTTTGTACCCCATTTGGTGAGAATGGAAGCCTGTGGCCTTTTGGGGAGGTCCTCAACTCTCCTGTCCATGGAGTCCTCTCTCAAAGAATTGACTCTTGGACAGCCAGTCCTCAATGGACAGACCTCCCAGAAATCACTGACATCTGGACACTCCCTCAGTAATACAGAGTGGCTCGTTCAAGGCAAAGCGTGCCCTGCCTACCAGCTTTGGACCCCTTCCCGTCCCCAGACAATTCCTATAGGTTTGTTGCCCTCTAGTGTCCATCTGGAGGCCATTCCATTAAGTTTTTGTTGCTGGGACTAAAAACCCTTGCCTTCTCAGTTTGTGATCTTTCTAAACCTCATAATTTCACCCTTAGAAATCTCATGTAGTAATTGTGGGACCTAGATTTTGTTTACAAAGCATTTTGCACATCACCTGTTTCATTTTTTTTTATTTTTTTTAATATTTTATGGTTTATTTAACTTTATTTTATGTGCATTGGTGTGAAGATGACAGATCCCCTGTAACTGGATCTTCAGACAGGTGTGAACTGCCATGTGGGTGCTGGGAATTGAACCCGGGTCCTCTGGAAGAGCAGTCAGTGCTCTTAACCACTGAGCCATCTCTCCAGCCCCACATCACCTGTTTCATCGGCAATACTGGGAAAATGATCATATCACTATTATCATTATAATCCTGTAGAGGCTGGATGGTGGTGGCACACACCTTTAATCCCAGCACTTGGGAGGCAGAGGCAGGCAGATCTCTATGAGTTCAAGGCCAGCCTGGTCTACAAGAGTTAGTTCCAGGACAGGCTCTAAAGCTACAGAGAAATCCTGTCTCAAAAAAAAGGAAAGAAAGAAAGAAAAATTCCATATAGGTAAAGCCCCACTACACCCCATTCCTTACCCATTTTTTTTTTCTGATACCACTTTCCAGATGTTTAGCTTACAAACCCCTGCCGACTTAGCAAGAACCCTTAGCCATGTCCCTCCTCTACTCCTCAGGTGGCAGACGGAACTCCGTGTTCCCCAGACAGCTCCTCAGTCTGTGTCCAGGGGCGCTGTATCCATGCTGGCTGTGACCGGATTATTGGCTCCAAAAAGAAGTTTGACAAGTGCATGGTCTGCGGCGGGAATGGTTCTAGCTGCAGCAAGCAGTCGGGCTCCTTCAGAAAATTCAGGTCTTTTCACCATTTCTGTTTCCCCTCTATTTTCCTGGTTGCTGTGATGGGCTTGGGACTAAATGCTAAAGCGGGAAATGAGCAGACATTACAATGCAGGGTTCCACACGGTGGACAGAGGGGACACAGGATGCCGTAAGAGCCTTTGAGGGCACCAGGGAAGGCCTGGGGTGGTGACCTCGGAGCTAAGAGTAGGAACTGGACAGGCCCCAAGGAGGCCGGGACTGGAAAGACACTGGAATAAAAAGCAGCAATAGGAAGTGTCCAGTGAGGAAGACACACTTGCTGGTAGTTCTGTTCTCAGGCGGATACGTGTCTCGTGTAAGCCTGAAGAGGCAAACACACACACACACACACACACACACACACACACACAGGCAAACACAGGGCAAGCTGAAGGGATTCGAGAGATGCCGAGTTCTTCACGTACTTTTTCCTTACAGGTACGGATACAGTGATGTGGTCACTATCCCCGCCGGGGCCACCCATATTCTTGTACGGCAGCAAGGGGGTTCTGGCCCCAGGAGCATCTACCTGGCCCTGAAGCTTCCAGATGGTTCCTATGCCCTCAATGGTGAATACACGCTGATGCCCTCCCCCACGGATGTGACACTTCCTGGGGCAGTCAGTCTGCGCTATAGCGGAGCCACGGCAGCCTCAGAGACACTGTCTGGACATGGGCCTCTGGCCCAACCCTTGACGCTGCAAGTCCTGGTGGCCGGCAACCCACAGAACGCACGTCTGCGGTACAGCTTCTTCGTTCCGCGACCAGTTCCTTCAACACCACGCCCTCCTCCCCAAGACTGGCTGCATCGCCGGGCACAGATTCTGGAGATCATTCGGAAGCGTCCCTGGGCCGGCAGGAAATAACCTCACTCTCCCGGCTGCCCTTTTGGGGTGCCGGGGCCTCGGACTCATCTGGGAGAATGAGGGGGTTCTGCAGCTGCCTCATGCTAAAACACAGCAGGGAAGTGCTGTAGAGGGCGAAACCTGCCCTGCCTCTCTGCCCTAAACTGCAGGCTGGCCCTGCCCTAGCTTCCTGCCCTGGGAGGCAGCGATGTGTAGGTGAATGGAAAGGGGCTAGGAGACGCCCCCTATCTAAACTGCCCCCTCTGCCCTGCAGGTCACAGGAGGGAGAGGGGAAGGCAGGATGGGTCCTGGATTCCAGTTGTATTTATTTAGTATTTATTCGCTTTTATTTAGCACCAGGGAAGGGGACTAGGGTCTTGGGGAAACTCACCCCTTATAGCCCCCACCCTAGCTATGAAATCAGGGTGGTGGTAACAAATATAAGTGGTGTATGTGTGTCTGTGTGTGTGTGTGCGTGCACGCGTGTGTTTTTGTATGAGGTACAACCTGTCCTGCTTTCCTCTCCCTGGCTTTTTTTTGGCTGGGAAAAGGAGAGCCAAAGGTAGGATTGGTCTTCAGGGAGTGAGGGATTATCATATTTTTAAATGTACAGATTGAAGTCTGCTATTTATATGCCCCTTTGGGGGTCAGACAAATGTGGGTTGCACCTTGGCCCCACATCTTTGAGCATTTGTTTTCTTGTTTGCCAATAACAATAATACCTCCCTTAGAAATTTGTTGTAAGGGTTAAATAATGTAAATAAAGAACTAGCATAAGGCCTCCCCCTCCACAGGTACTCAGCAAGTGGCAACTGCTCTTATTCTCATCAGTGTTCTGTTCACGCTCCTCCATGGAGGGTCTGCCCTGCACTTAAAGCCGACAAGCGTCCATGTCACTTATGCCATTCTTTATGCCCAGGCTCAGATCCCGTAGCTGTCCGTACTCTAAGATTGGGAGACATTGTCAGAAAAGGCTGTTCTGTCCATCACTTCCGTGGGCACATAATCACCTGAAGCAGATGTAATGAACACTTGGCAATATAGCCAACAAGGACATGAAGATACAGAAACCAAAAACTCAACTCCCTCAACACAAACAAGAGTATAGTTGTAGCCGGGTGGTGGTGGCGCATGCCTTTAATCCCAGCACTCGGGAGGCAGAGGCAGGCGGATCTCTGTGAGTTCGAGACCAGCCTGGTCTACAAGAGCTAGTTCCAGGACGGGCTCCAAAACCACAGAGAAACCCTGTCTCGAAAAACCCAAAAATAAATAAATAAATAAATAAATAAATAGAAAAAGAGTGTAGTTGTAAGAGTGATGGAGTCAAGGGATGGAGAAGGATGTTACAGTAGCATCCTGGCACTCCAGAGCTGACGGATCTGAGCTTGAGCTAGGGTTCAGCACCTTATTACCTGGGTGACGTTGGGCAAGTCACTGATACACAACTTTGGATTACAAGCATACAGAATGGGGCCCATGGTAACTGTTCCCATAGCTCTGTGCTCAAGGATTTTCGAACAGTAAAGGGTGTTGTAACATGAGAAGTGACCTTTGTGATGACTGACTCGGACAGTGACTCCACCATCAATCAACGTAAGCCCAATAGACTTCTTGGAAAATGTGAGGTTAGAATGGAATTCAATGAGAGGAACAGGATGTGGTCTGGTAAGCAATAAACAGCAAAGCAAAAGAAAAAAATGTAGACAGATCTAATGAGAGTGGAGCCATCTGTTCAGTGGTGCAGAATGTGAGGAGCAGCACTGAGCGGAAATGGATCTCCTTCCCTTGAACAAGAGGAATAACCTAGTCAGTCTTGGGTGTGTTATAGATGGGACAGGTGGGCAAAGGCATGGTGGAGAGGTTTTTTTTTCACTTTTATTTATTTACTTTTCATTGGTTTAAATCCGGGATGGGTACAGCATCACACGGATTCTGTATCCAATGGCTTTTGCAGGAAGGTTGCTTCGGAATTTGGCACGACCATGCCACCGTTTCCATGGGACCGAGTTACTTTCCCCCAGATCACTCTGGTTTTGTTTGGTTTGCCTCCAGGTGTCACTGTGTTGTTCTTTGCTTCGTACATATAAGCACATCTCTTGCCCGAGTAGAATTCAGTTTCATCTCGGGCATAAACGCCTTCAATTTTAAGGAGAGCTGTGTGCTCTCTCTGGTTCCGGAGACCTCGCTTATAGCCAGCAAAAGTGACCTTGCACCACAGCCTTCAGACATTTAGAAGTCCTGTTCCCAGCAGGCCCCAGAAACTGGTCCCCAAAGTGCAGCAGCACTAACGGCCCTGGCCCTCCGTGGTGGAGAGTTTTGAATGTTAAGCAAATGCAGACCTGCTAGGGATTGGGAAAGGGACTGGATGTTGAGGTGGGAAGGAGCTGTAGGAAGAGAAGAAGACCCCGAGGTGAGGTTGGACCACGGAGAAACCAAAGGCATCTTGCTCTGCCATACCACCTTCAGTGGGAACTGCCAGACAGGACTTTGAGGTGCAAGGCAGGGCCTCTGAGGTTGAGAGGCAGGCCCAGAGGTTGTCGGTGTTTGTGCATGCGCTCTCTTAAGTGGAGCTATGCTGTGGAGTATTAGCTTAACTATGTAAAAATGTGTTGCTTTGGTTTATGCTGCATTTGTTTAACTATGAAAAGGTGAGTTCTGTTTTACCTTGTCTGCCTAAAGAACCTGATTGAACTAATAAAAACTGAGTGGTTAATAGCTAGGCAGAGGAGGGATAGGCAAGGCTGGCCGGCAGATAGAAAAGGGACCAGCCAGCTGGGTGCCCAGCCAGCCAGACATGGAAAACAGGAAAGCAAAAAGGACCGTATGTAGATGGGGTAAAGGAGCCTCAGGGAACCACGTAGATTAATAGAAGTGAGTTAATTTAAGTTAAAAAAAAAAAAACTAGCTAGAAACAAGCCTAAGCTAAGGCCGAGCATTCATAATTAATAATAAGTCTCCATGTCATGATTTAGGGGCTGGTTGTCCAAAAAAGCCAGGTACAGAGCAAGGCTTTCCTGATCAGGTTCTGTATGAGACAGCTTCACGCGGTGCCCTGTTCTTTATACCACCCAGCACAGTGCCTGCCTGCTCACTCTGCTGCAGGCCAGGAAGGGATGGCCTCACTCCTCTCTCTAGCAAGCATGGCTCCCCCTGCTGTTCTTGTTCTCTGGTGTGTCTTAGGGTCCTGCTACCAACCAGGCAGGAAGAGGCAGAGACAGGAGAGTGGGATAAAACTAAGGTGATCTGCAGTTGCTTTGTCTAGCCGGTAAAATTGGACCATATGCTTATGGACCTTAATACTATGCACTCCTGGTACAAGCCGAGCTCTGTTCAAGCGAAGGTAAAATAAAAACACAAATGATATATGACCGTGTCCTTAAAGAGCTCACGTTGCCTCCTGGGAGGAGGTTATGCATTGCCTGTGCACAAACAGAAACAAAGGGATAGTACAAGGAACTATAAGATAAGGGCAAAATGGACTTTGCAGAGGTTGAGCCTGGAACCTGAGCACCCTCAGGGCTCAGGAAGGAGGAGCCCTGGTTGGGTTTTTGAAGGTAGATCACTACAATAGCCCTTCTCATATTTCCTTAGGGCACTTGGCAATTTACTTTGTAAATCACTTTCACAAAAGTTATTTTTTTTATTCTTTCTTTATTTATTTATTTATTATGTATACAATATTCTGTCTGTATGTCTGCAGACCAGAAGAGGGCACCAGACCTCATTACAGATGGTTGTGAGCCACCATGTAGTTGCCGGGAATTGAACTCAGGACCTTTGGAAGAGCAGACAATGCTCTTAGCCTCTGAGCCATCTATCTCTCCAGCTCCCCACAAAAGTTATTTTTAAGAAACTACTTTGCTCACTAGGCTGACACAAAGAACTTTTCTCCTTGGAAGGTGGAAACGTGAGGATCGGGACTTCAAGGCCAGCCTCTGCTGCTACATCACAGTAAATTTAAGGCCAGCCTGGCTACACAAATCCTTGTCTCAAAAGAGGAGGAGGAGCGTTGGGTGGTGGTGGTACACACCTTTAATCACAGCACACAGGAGGCAGAGGCAGGAGGATTGATGAGTTAATGACCAGCCTGGTCTACAGAGAGTGTTTCAGGACAACACAGAGAAACCCTGTCATGAGGGAGGGGGACGGCAGGAAGAGGAAGAGAAATTCATTTTTTTCCAAAAATGTGTTGAAGGCTAGAGAGATGGTTCAGCATTTAAGACCACTAGCTAGTCTTCCGAAGGAACCGGGTTTGAGTCCCAGCACCCACATGGCAGCTCACAACAATCTACAACTCCAGTTTTATGGAATCCAATACTTTCTTTGGGTATTGATGTTTCTCTGCTGGCTTAGTGACTGCACACGAATCTACTGTATTCCAATGATCACCTACAGCCCCACGGCCCCTCAGTCAGCCACCGGCTGGCCACTCAGGGGCAGATTGGTGAGGCTTCCAGTCCCTAGGCCCCAGTTATGCTGCAGCTGTGATATGTAGGTTTAAATTAAATCTTTATCATTATACTTATCAATAAGACTCAGGAGTCAAAGGCTGGGGTACAACCTGCTAACTCAGAGAGGCTGAATAGCAGCTAGCTGATCTTGTTTTGAAAGACCCTCAGAGAGGACCTTTCCTCTCTGATGAAGACCCCAGAACCAGGACACTCCGAGACCAGGCCACAGGATGCAATTAGCAAGAGGTTTATTGAGTAAACACAGGTACCTGCGGGCAGCAAGTCTTTCGGAGGACTTGCGCACCTGCAGACTGGGGGGAGGTCTTTTTATAGGGGAGAGCAAAAGCAAGCTTACAGAAGCAAAAGCGTGGTTATCGGAATGAGGCAGGGGCATGAATGGTTTCCTTTCTCAGCATGGATGCCTGGCAACAGTCATCCTGTTCCTATCTTATAGCTAACCTGCTTTGTTGATATCCTATCTTATTGACATCTTGCCTTGCAGTCTTCCTATCTCTATCTCCTGCTCTCTCAGGCACATGGGATGTTCTTACGGGAGCAGGCTGGCTGCTGATCCGGAGAATTTTTTTTAAGCAAACAGGATGTTCCCCCGGGAGCATGCTAGCTGTGGGTTTTGAGGAGGGGGTCTGTAGGGTCTTTAAGTTTTTTAGCGGGAGACACCGCGAGAGATGCATCTCTTCCCTCATCCCACAACCAAGAGGAAGCTCAAACTCCAGTCCCTGCCCTTTTCCTTTCTGTGCATCTTCTCTATCCAAATTGTTTGCTTCTCCGTGGTCAATTCTGGTGAGCTGGTCACTGGCTCCACCCCCTGAGTCAAGTTAAACTTTATTGGGCCAGTCTTGGGAGTGTCAGAGTGAGATCGAAATATCCCGCAACATGATCTCTGTGGGTACTAGGCATGCGTGTGGTGCACAGGCATATATGCAGGCAAATCACGGATAGCCACGAAATAAAAATGAATAAATTTAGAGAGGATTGAGTTTAAAGACTACTTCTGTGATTGAGAGAGTAGGTAGATTTATATGGTGAAAGGGGGCCAGAAAGAGCTAGCCCTTCAAAAAGATGAGTAATCCAGTCCTCAATGTCAGTCAGCCCCTGACCCCTTTCAGGAATGTTTTCCGTATTCCTCCCTGCCCCACAGCCAGAATATAAGCTTCACATAACACCCATCCTGAAGTTGAGTCCAACAAGCTCTTGCTCGGAATGGAGATGAGGGGATATACCTCTTCATATATGGGCCAAGATGACCTTGGTCGATACCAGCTAAGTATTGCCTCCGTAGGTTTGAACTACAATGTGGTGTAGAAGTAGTTGAGGGGCTGGAGAGATGGTTCAGTGGTTAAAACCACTGACTACGCTTCCAGAGGTCCTGAGTAGAAAGAGGGAAAAGAGAAAAAAAGGAGGCACTGAAATTTCTCTTGTATCTATTTGTTTTTTTTTTTGTTTTTGTTTTTGTTTTGTTTTGTTTTGTTTTTGTTTTTCGAGACAGGGTTTCTCTGTGGTTTTGGAGCCTGTCCTGGAACTAGCTCTTGTAGACCAGGCTGGTCTCGAACTCACAGAGATCCGCCTGCCTCTGCCTCCCGAGTGCTGGGATTAAAGGCGTGCGCCACCACCGCCCGGCTCTTGTATCTATTTGTAAGGGTGAAAAGAGGGAGCAGTGACTTGAAAAAGAGGTGGCAGTGATTGACAAGGGACGTACTTCTTAAAGTTCAAGAGGAGTTCGGACTAGCGCATTTCATGATACGGACTCATCTGAACAGGGAAGGAGATTGAGGCAAAACATGGGTTGGACCAGTTTCTTCAAACCCCTCCTGCCTGGCCATGATATTCTCACTTCTGCGGTTAGAGCAGAGGAAATCTGGGCTTTTGTCCAATCATTGTTTTTGTGGTAGTGGTGGGAGAGCCAGGGTTTCTGGAGAGTGCTGTGGGATGGGTATTTGTTTTTTCTACACGAACTCTAGCTCCCCCTCTTTCCTCTCCACACAGTATTTTTTTTCTGTCTCTAAAATACTAGATTGACATTGGTAAAGCAGTATCTCATTGGTCAGAGCTTGTCAGGGAGGAGGGGCCAAGGGACCGGGTTCAAAGGATTAACATTTTATTGGGTAAGAGAACGATGCTTCTGAGCCAGTTGAATACCTTCCCCATTGACTGTTGCTGGGGGGGGGGGGGGAGCCAAGATCTTTGGCAGCAAGAGTCACCAGCTGACAGCTGGAGGAAACCACGAGCTCTAAATATGCTTGGAAAAAGGGGAGTCGGAGAAGGTGGGGGAGCAATATACTCAACAACATCCCCAGACAGGACCTTATATGGGGACAGGCTCAGAGTACTTCATTAGCCTTGGGAAGGAGAGGAAGGGCGGAAATATATTTAAACACTCACTATAGTCTTCAACAAACAAAAGTCCCATGAGTGCTCGCAAACAGTGACACACATTTTACACACCCCCTGATAGAGACATGTTAGGCACATTCTCTTGATAATGTATATGCAAATGTCCATGAGAGAAAGAGACAAGAGAGACAGAAGAGGTGGAGAAGTATAAAGAGAAGGAGGAGAAAGAGGAGAGAGGAGAGAGATCAGGAAAATGAGTCTCAAGAATAAGTTAAAAATCCTGCTTGGGGGTGGGGGGTGGGGTGGACTGGAGGGATGGCTTAACAGTTAAGAGCAGTGGCTGCTCTTCCAGAGGTCCTGAGTTTAATTCCCAGCAATCACATGGTGTCTCACAACTATCTCTAGTGGGATCTGATGCCCTCTTCTGGCATAAAGGCATACATGCAGATAGAGCA